ACAATTTTGAGAATTTTTTATTTAATCCAAACACAGCGTTGTTAGAAGTCTGATCAATTTGACTTAAATACATTTTGTAAAAAGTCGTTTTTGGTTACCTAAATTAGGAAAACGTCCTATGATACTTTCAGGTTGAAACTGAGAATTTTATTGACATGGTTTGGTTGCCGTCCATAGACTTATTGGCTTTAAATTTTGACTTATATTTAGAATTTTATCTCATTTATAAATTTCAAGTCTCAGCCCTCGTTTAATAGAGATTATTTTTTAAAAAAAAAAAAAATTATACGAAAAAAAAGTATTTTTTTTAGAGAATGTGTAGTTAAAAAATAGCAAAAATCAAAGTTATTTTATTTGAAAAATATGTGATTGAAAAGTGTTGAGGAAAAAATGGATTTTAGAAAATTGGGACCAAACAAAGGCTCAATATTTTTCATGTGTACGTTAATGTGCAAGAGTAAGTTGAAAACCGAAAATCTATCTAAAAAATTTGTTATTAATTTCGGATGACAACATAATTTATATAAACACACGTGCTGACTAAATTGTATCAACTTGAGGTTTAGATTAGATAATTTAACATGATATTAGAGTTGATATAGATTTTCAAGTCTTGCTACACGTTTATAAAAGTAATTGCATAACATGTCTTTGATTGAAAAAAAAAATCATTTTGTACACATTACGTTTTTAATTGACGTAGTTCAAGACATGAGTATGACGACTAGTTAAATAACACCTACCAATGTTAAGATGGGAATCTTTAATTTTATGCATTTTTGCTACAATTGAGTTGGACCCTAGCAGACATTTTTAAAGTAGCTAAATCTACCTTCAAGTTATTTTTTTCAATCTTTCCCATTTCACTGGTACATCGTTTGAATTTACCCAAGAATGAAATATTAGATCTTGACACGATGTTTTTAGAGGAGATGATGCAATAAAATATCTAAACACATAAAAGTTTTGAGTCAAATTTTGATGTCAGATGAAAATTATATACATAGAGACTTTCGATGAAAAAGTAAGTTCACTTGCATGTGAGGGAGGATTTGATTGTATCCCATTCGGACTTTCAGACATCATGGTCATGTATGATAGGCCACATTTTTGGGGAAAGTAGGAAAATATTTTCTACTTTCTATTTTTTTGGCTGTTTGATAG